CAAATAATAGTTGGGATATCCAATTAAATACTACTGTTTTATTATTTTATTTTTGATTCAAAACCTACCATGTATTCACCTTCAGGGGCTTCATCATGCTAAACCTATACACATTCATATCTGGCATAAGAGAGAGAATTTTTTTTAAAGATGAAATACAGGTATCTACAGGACTGACAATCACAAAGAAAGCATTGTTGAAGAAAAAAAATCATCCAACTTTACAAATGACAAAAGCAGTCGCAAAAAAGATTTAGTACACATTGATGAAAAAAAATAGTATTGACCATGTTTACATTTGGCACAGATGTTTCTTCATTTTTTTTAAAAAAAGAAATATATATATATATTATTTGGTATCCTCAAAATAGGAAGAATTAAATACAAATAAACCCAACAACCAATATTATAAGCATACATCTTTGGGGTATTAAGATGAGGTTGTTTTTTTAAATGGGCAGCATTTTAATAAAACTCTGCATCAGATTTCTATGAAATGAAGTTCTCCAGATGTTGCCCATCATTCAAGTTCAGGGGTAGGCAACCTTGGCTCTTTTATGGCTCGTGGACTTCAACTCCCAGAATTCCTGAGCCAGCCATGCTGAGGAAAAAGGGAGAGGTTTCCAAGCTGAGCCATGCTGGCTCAGGAATTATGGGAGTTGAAGTCCACGAGTCATAAAAGAGCCAAGGTTGCCTACCCCTGTTCTAATTGGAGAACCTACTGGTTGGAATTAATGGAAATGAAGACCGATATTTATGGAGAACACCATACTTAGAAGGCTAAGCTATGGAACAGTCATGTATATAAGGGCTATATAAGGATTACCCAGTCTACATTAAGGTTGGATCCAAATTCACGAATACTAGTCCAATCCATCTTCTATCAGTCTAGTCATTTCTAGTTCCAGAATTTGAGATTTAAAAACAACAACAACAACAACAACAAAACAATTCCAGCTTTCAATTTTAAAGGGTCTAACCATTAATGCCTGACATCAGTGCATTTATTTCTCTTATTGTTTGATTGGGGAAGAATCTACACCCCCCCCCCGCCAGATAGATAGACAGACAGACAGACAGACAGACAGACAGACAGATGATATAGATGATAGATAGGTAGAGATAGATATAGATAGATATAGATGATAATAGATAGATGACGATAGAGAGATAGATATAGATAGATGATAGATACATAGATGATGGATGGATGATAGATGATTAGATAGATAGATAGATAGATAGATAGATAGACAGACAGACAGACAGACAGACAGACAGACAGACAGACAGACAGATGATAGAGATAGATAGACGATAAATGATAGATAGATAGATAGATAGATAGATAGATAGATAGAGATAGATAGAGATGATAATAGACAGATAGATGATAAATGATAAAGAGATCTATATATAGATAGATGATAGATAGATGATAGATAATGGATGACAGATGATAGATGATTAAATAGACAGACAGAGAGACAAATAGATAGAGATATAGGCAGGCAGACAGATATGACAGCTGGAAATTGCCATGTTCAGAAATAACCTATGCGGGAAGATCAAATAAGAACACAAGAGATAGCTTTAGTGTACGAAGGCTACATTATTATCTTGATTTCTTAATGGTGATCTCATGATACCACATAAGCACCATTTTGGCAACTATTCTATCACCCTAACCCTTGCCAGTGCCAATTTGAAATTACTCAAAGAAAGCCACGAGGCATGTCGGATTTAAGTTCTTGCATCAGGATGACTGTTGGAGATTTGCAGGGGTTGAAAGCCAGAACATCTGGGGAAGGCTGTTCTAATTTCATGACTAGGACTAAACATAATTCATCCTCTCTTTATCCCAGTATACCTAATTATTGGCTTCTTTACTCGTGTGTTCTTATGCTGGCTAGAAAGAATTTATGCTATATGGAAAGCCATTTTCTGTTAAGTAGCTGTGAAAGCTAATCCTGGCAAGATCAGAAAGAAACAGCTTGACACCAGACTGATATATTTACACTAACAAAAAACAGGTGGTAAACTCTTCCTCCCAACCAAATGCAGGAGGTATCAAGTTTGTTGAGCCATCCAGAGCAAGAGGCCACCAAGAATTAATCTTGAGTTCAGTTATAGTAGAGCTTACAGTTACTGGAATTTTTTTTTTCCAAACCGCTCCCCTAGATTTTGTAATAAACATTCTCATTAGAAATCAGGATCTTTAATTCACTTCCAGCATGACTTCCAATTCTAGGATCAGCCAGGAAGAGCTTAAGAGCATTTGCTGATTCTACTTAGAGATCAATCTTTCTCTTTTGAAGGTCAGACTTGAGCAAAATTTACTAGAGCAGTGATGGCGAACCTTTTAGACACCGAGTGCCCAAACTGCAACCCAAAACCCACTTATGTATCGTTGGGTGCCGGATGGACATGGCCCATTGGGTGGGTGTGGCCCATTGGATGGATGTGGCCAATTCGGTGGGCGTGGCTATGGCGGTAATGGCAGATTGGGTGGGACTAAAAAGTTCAATCTATCAATTCCAACTTTGCGAGATTTGTTTTCCCGCGAGAAGTTGAAATTGATTGATAGATTGAACCTTTTTTTTTTTTGCACACAGCGGCGGAAGCCTAAAGCGAAAAGGTTTTATAAAACCCAGCTGAAGGCCTAGAACTGGGGCAATGGCGCGCGTGCCCACAGAAAGAGCTCTGCGTGCCACCTGTGGCACGCGTGCCATAGGTTCACCACCACGGTACTAGAGTATCTTTGAAGAGGGTGACCGCTGTGCCTTGAAATTAAATATGCCATACTATAACGCAGTTTGCTCTCCGTGTTGATTTTGCTTGTAGAAATATTTCTACACTGCTCCCCAAAATTTGTGGAGGTCCTGTCTTCATTAAACTTCACCGAGAAGCATGACAGAGAACAGAAGAGCAGTTGGAAGATTTATTCATTCCTTTATGATCAGCGGAAGGGTTAGAAAAGCAGAAACACCACCTTCTGTAGATAGGTTATTGCAAGGAAGGTTAAAAAGGTAGTCAAAGTAGACTTATGCTTACATAGGCTGACATTACTCTTGTTGAGGTTGAAAACGTTAAGAGAACTTAGGTTAAGTGTCTTAAAAAGAGCATACATGCATTCGTCTTTAGGTATGCATGTTAATGCAAATTGCAAAATTGGTTATGCAGTACATATGAGAACTTGGGAGTTATTTGTGTGGGAAGTGGAACATCTGTTTGGGAAATGTCCTGCAGAAAGCATACATACGCCGACCCAGGGAGGGGTCAACCACAACAGATTTGCTAGCTGCTTCTCAGTTTGCATGAAATGCTCTGTGGAAAAGCACATGGCTTAGGTACAGTTCACACACAGCCAAAATGCTATCAGAGGCTGCTTCTTGAGTGGGCCTCAGGGGGGAACTGGTTGACTCTAAACTTTTCAGACCAGAGTAGAGACTCATGTTTTTGTGCATGCTTATTTGACTCATGTTCCTCCAATGAATATTCTGCCTTACGGGGTTGCCTTCCTTATTTGTCCTTCTTTGAATTCCGCAGTGCCAAAAATCTACTAAAAAGTCCAAAATCCATAAATAAGGAATGTGTGTACACACATTTGGTAAAACGGATCAAAGGTCTGTATTGCCAGAAATAGCCATATTGTTGGGTGGTCTTCAAAAAAAAGTGACAAGCTGATGCTGAATTTAATTGAACAGAACATGCGGGTAAATCAGAAAATGGTAAGAGTTGAAAAGTACACATTTTTCATCGTTGTCTCACTACCAAACCCTTGATCAAAAATTGGAGGGAACTGGTGATATAGGTGCCAACTGCACCTCCCATGGTGCATGAAAAGCTGGTTACTTTGCTTAGGGTCTACCAGAAGATTCCAAACATATCGAGATGAATGTCCCAAAAATATCCATTCTGACCTACCTTCTCGGTGCAAGAAATTGAAACAAATTTAATGGAGAAGACTTAATTGTTGGTACCACTGAAGATACAGCTCCCTCTTATCATACTATATAAACATATGTCATGAATGGATTATATCACTACAAAGGATGTCGGCCAATGCAATGAATACAATGGTTTACAGCCATCTGTATTTGCTTGTATAAGTATCTATATATTTATACAGTAGTAGCCAAAATTGTGGAAACCTGTTGGGAAAAGTGTATTTTTCAGGTTCGATGGCTAATAACACCACTTCTTTTGGAGTAGTACCATAAAATTATATATCAGTGGAAAGATAATTTAATCAAGAATGTAATGCAATGAAGTTTGTTCAATTATCTGTACTGTATTCTATGAAAAGTTATAGCCAAATAACCAGAAAAAGGAAGAACAACTTGCTTAAGTTGATCTCAGGTAGCTTTCCTTCACCTGATTGTAGCCAATGAGCCCCAGTGTTTAGAGAGCCAATCAGGTGTCATCTTGTTTTGGCAATGAGCCAATCAGATCACAGGAGGATTCAGTTATTGATGTCATGTATTGAAGCTGAGAGGAGGACATTTGTCAGTGTGTTATGTGATCGTTATCAAGTTGGTTGGGTTTTTTTGTGTTCTTTTATTTAGTGAGCTTGTGAAACATAATACAATTAAAGTAGTGGTGCAAAGAGTTGACTGGTTGTCCAGAAAGTGATGTAAAATAGTATTATTAAGTGAACAAGGCTACAGTTATAACAAAATTAGAAGAAAAATGGGTGGAAACTTAACCAAAGGCGGCATTTCTACTGTACACTTTTCCCAAAAGGTTTCCACAATTTTGGCCACTACTATATTTGTACTGATAATGTTCCTGTCATTATGGAGGCTATGCTGTATGTTTCTGAGTGTCACAAGGGAGTATTTCATTATTTTTTTTCAGATTCAGTTTAAGACATTTTCAAATTCTTAATTAGTTCAAATGACTGATGTCAATCTATCAACCTATTATTAACTCTATGCATTGTGGCTTCTGTACGCACCATTGTATTACAGGTGAGATGTGTAATAAAATAAATTATTGCAACTTCCAGCAAATATTTATTCTCATGTTACTTTTCTCCTTTACTTGATTTTATGGGCTTAGTAGTTTTGGACTACATGTATGTATCTTTTTTGAGGTTCCATTTTATACAAATACACAATGGAAATTGAATACTCATGATTTTGGCTAACTGAACATGGTAAATGCCACAGCAGTGGTGCTATTAGCCTTCCCCAGTCTTCCTTCCCCAACTGTGTTGTACTTACAACCCCATAATTCCTAATCAGCATGATATTTCTGTGACATTAATATGGGATATTGACTTGAAGTTGTGCCTCCACAAGAGCTCGTTTTCCAACGCAACGTACCGTAAACAGAGAATCACACAGACACACACAAAATCATATATGTAGATGAAGAGTACTCCAAGTCACTCTTTGTCCTAACCCTCTTTCCTCCCACCTTGCATGATTCCAAGCTGGACATTCAGTGCTTCATCATTTGTTTTCCGTATCAAGACAACAAAGATGACCTCAAAACATGGTGCAACACCCTCTCTGAAGGCTTAGAGAGTGAAAGCAAGGTGGGATCAATAGGTTACTTCACAATGGACATCTCTTTGGACTTGGTCTTAATTGTCTGGTTTTAGCTTAGAGAGTCTGGGTGTCCTGAACTTTTATCGAGCGGGCTTGATTACTGATCCGCTCTACTCTCAGCAGGGAAAGAAAACCACCTGATAAAAACGGATCCCTTGATTGAGGGTATAAGATGGCAGTGGTGATGATGAAGAAGAAGTTTGTTGATCGAGCTTGGCCCTTAAGATCCGGGCCACTGATTCCTGCGGTTCCTGCTTTTTCGGCTGTTGAGAAGAGCCTTTAGTTTGCCATAGTCCCCTCTCATCTTTGAGGAAGCTTCAGCCTGTTGACCCAGTTGCCGTGTGTCTTTGCAGTATTGATTAATCATCTGCAGTTCAGAGTGGCTGAAAGATCCAGCCAGGTCCTTTGGATGGAACTGCAAGGTGTGGAGTGGACTGGCCCAGGTCCACGGAGACCACTTGTCTGTCATGAAGGCCACGGTGTCTGAATCCAAAACCTTGAAGTTCACCTTGGCGATTGTTTGCTTGAAGCCATTTTCTGTGGCAATGCAATGATACGTTCCACGGTCGGCTTCCTGCACCAGACGGATCAAAAGCCCTTGTTGGGTGGCTAGGATTCTTTCGCTGAGTTTCACCTAGGGACAGTAAAAAAATATATATATTTTCAAAGTTTGTTATTTGCTATTAATACATCATTTGGTTAATATAGCTTACTATTAAATCATTTACTGTTAACTGCACCAAATAAATGCATTATTAAGTCATCATTTAATTCATCAAACTAATAAATAAATTATTAACCAATCATTTAGTTTTTTTCTTCATCAAACGTATTTGTATAAAACACTGGGGTGGTTTTTTTTTAGTTTTTCTTTTAGTTTTCCTGCACTGATGTGAGGAAGTATTTCATTTGACATTCAACTAATACGATCAATTAATAATCTAAGATATAAACAAACAAAATGACTTTTAACTAATAAAAGCAGTGCACGTAGTGCTCCCTTTAATATGTTTGGATGTTATTCAGATGCTGATAATCAGTAGTATAAAAGGCTATCTTTCCTCTCAAAGAAACAATTTATAAATAATAAAAAAGATCCGTTCTATTTCGCTAAACAAAAACTATTTTCCTCCAAATAATTACCCTATACAGGATGGCGCTGAAATTTGAAAAATTGGGACAAAACAATAATGGAAAATGTGATCCTTCATTCTATCAGATTATATTCTTATTTCACTCATAACACTTTGAAGCAGTTAAAAGAATTTTAATTTTGGTATCTCGATTGTGAATGCTCTGTTCTATTGTTCGTTCTATTTCTCTGAAATAGTATAGGGCAGTGGTGGCAAACCTATGGCACGGGTGCCAGAGGCGGCACTCAGAGCCCTCTCTGTGGGCACGCGCATCGTCGCCCCAGTCCTAGGCCTTCAGCTGGGTTTTATAAAACCTTTTCGCTTTAGGCCTCCGCCGCTGTGTGCAAAAAAAAAAAAGGTTCAGTCAATCAGTCAATTTCAACTTCTTGTGGGAAAAAAAAAGATCTTGCAAAGTTGGAATTGATTGATTGAACTTTTTAGTCCCACCCAGTCTGCTGTTACCACAGCAGCCACGCATACCCAATGGGCCACACCCACCCAGTGGGCCACACCCACCCAATGGGCCACACCCACCTGGCACCCAACGATGCATAAGTGGGTTTTGGGTTGCAGTTTGGGCACTCGGTCTTTAAAAGGTTCGCCATCGCTGGTATAGGGTTTCCTGCCTGAGCAGGGGGTTGGACTAGATGACCTCCAAGGTCCCTTCCAACTTTATTATTATTATTATTATTATTATTATTATTATTATTATTATTATTATTATTATTATTATTATTATTATTATTAATCTTAGAAAAAAAGGTCAGCTTTATGATAAGTTGACCCAGTCCTGGTGATAACACGTTGCCTCTCCTTTGATCCTTCATTGCCTTTCCATAAGGTCACTCACCTCTTTCCTTCGGTCATTGTCCTTTTGGAGAAGCCATTTAATAGAAGCTTGTGGAGATTTTGGTGTGCACTCAAGGAACGTGGTGTTGTTCTTGACTCCGTACTGAATGACCTCAGCTGCATTTCGATAACCTAGAATGTAAATCAACCTCATCAACTTGAGAGTCATAGTTGGGCCATTGGTGTTTGGTGCAATAGATGCCACATCAAGAGATCGGAATAGCACTTGGATATCATAAAAAATGAATAAAAATGTAACTCATCAGTTAAAAAAGAAACTAATCGAGGAGAGAAACAACTGGAACTAAGGAGAAACTTCCTAACAGTGAGGACACTTACCCAGTGGAATAGCTTGTCTCCAGAAGTTGTGGGTGCTTCATCACTGGAGGTTTTTAAGAAGAGACTGGACAGCCACTTTCTGAAATGCTATAGGGTCTCCTGCTTGAGCTGGGGGCTGGACTAGAAGACCTCCAAGGTCCCTTCCAGCTGTGTTATTCTATTCTATTCTATTCTATTCTATTCTATTCTATTCTATTCTATTCTATTCTATTCCATTCCATATTCTATTCATTTCTATTTCATATTCTATTCTATTCTATTCTATTCTATTCTATTCTATTCTATTCTAGTCTAGTCTAGTCTAGTCTAGTCTAGTCTAGTCTATATTCTATTCTATTCTATTCTATTCTATTCTATTCTATTCTATTCTATTCTATTCTATTCTATTCTTTAGAGTACTAACCAAATGCTTAGGAATGAGGGGTGTGTACCATCATAGTACATAGGAAGTTCTAAGAAAGATGGTATTTTGTGATGTCACTGATGCCAACTCTAGTAAACTTAAACTTCTAAAAATTCGGTGAATCCCTTTGATATGGTGCCAAGAACCCCAATGACTATTGGTATTAGAGTTAACTTTCTTTATTCCATAATTCTTGGAATGCCAGTATTATGACTGTCTCCATTTTTTTCAGCAATGTAATAATTTTCACTCCCCCTTCCACCTTTTCAATAATAACAGTGTTCAGTGCGATGTGTTTCAGGGGTCTGTCAATGTGTTCTTTCAAGCCCGCCAAAATTGTGATCTTTGCCTTTTCTAACATTTTTTTCTGGGGTGTGTAATCTTTCAGGGTGTGGTTTTACAAGGTTTTAATTAACAGGAAAGCCATTTAAAAAAAAAAATAACAGAATAACAGTTGGAAGCGACCTTAGATGTCTTCTAATCCAAGCAGGAGACCCTATACCATTTCGGGCAAATGGCTGTCCAGTCTCTTCTTAAAAACCTCCATTGATAGAGCACCCATAATTTATGAAGGAAAGCATTCCACTGATTAGCTCACACTATTAGGAGATTTCTCCTTGGTTCTAGGTTGCTTCTTTCCTTGATTAGTTTTCATCTGCTGCTTCCTATCCTGCCTTCAGGTGCTTTGGAGAATAGCTTGACTCTTTGTGGTAGCCCCTGAGATATTGGAAGACTGCTATCATGTCATCCCTAATTCTTCTTTTCATTAAACTAGACATACCCAGTTCCCGCAACTGTTCTTCGTATGTTTATTCTCCAGTCCCTTATAAAATAAAAGCGCCAATGCCTGATTTTTACAACTCTGATGTTGCTTATATCCATTTGCTATTGTCATCCTGTCTTTCTTTTTCAGGAGCTCAACCCTGACTGCTCTTTAGAAGGCCAGATCCTGAAGTTGAAACTCAAGTACTTTGGCCACCTAATGAGAAGGAAGGACTCACTGGAGAAGGGCCTAATGCTGGGAAAGATGGAGGGCAAGAGAAGAAGGGGACGACAGAGAATGAGGTGGCTGGATGGAGTCATTGAAGCAGTAGACGTGAGCTTAAATGGACTCCAGAAGATGGTAGAGGACAGGAAGGCCTGGAGGAACGTTGTCCATGGGGTTGCGATGGGTCGGACATAACTTCGCAACTAACAACAACAAAAGCATGGGGATTAATCTTTATTGTTTCTTCATGACAACAGCCCTGTAAGACACAGGGTGTGTCTGAGGGAAAGAATGACTAGCCACAAATATCCCACAATGTTTTTCTTTTTAAAGAAGACGTTTTTGCAAAATCTTCAAATGCAGCAGGATTAAAAAAAAACAAAACAAACCCTCCATATTTAATTATTTTGTAGCTGGAGGCTTTGAAAAGAAGAAAACACAGTCACAATTGCACTGCAAAAAAGTGTTTAGGGTACAAAAGGAAAAAAAATATATATGTATTTTTAAGGAGGGTTCATAGCAACAAAAATAATCTGGTCAAAGGCAATGAAGAGGCAATGATTTATGCTCCGTTTTGATTGACTGAGAGGCTTTTAATTTAGCTGACTGCCCCACAGTGAGTTGAAAATACTCAAAATAAGGCAAATTTTCAGATAATGAACTGGTTGTGTTGCTTAAAAAAAAAAAAAAGATGGAAATAATGCCAAAATGGTCTGAAGTTTCAGGGCAAGAGATAAATTTCCGTCCTCAGCACAACAACCCTCAAACATTCATAAATATATCTTCCTTTCATAAAAACGTATTCTGGAAATGAAAAGGAATTTAAAGAATTAACTGCAAGAAAGGAGATTTGTGGAAACCTTGTATGGTCTATCCCAGGGGTAGGCAACCTTGGCTCTTTTATGACTCGTGGACTTCAACTCCCAGAATTCCTGAGCCAGCCACGCTGAGGGGAAAGGGAGAGGTTTCCAAGCTGAGCCACGCTGGCTCAGGAATTCTGGGAGTTGAAGTCCACAAGTCTTAAAGTTGCCAAGGTTGAGGACCCCTGATATAGGGCAGGGGTGGGGAACCTTGGCCCTTTTATGACTCGTGGACTTCAACTCCCAGAATTCCTGAGCCAGCCATGCTGAGGGGAAAGAGAGGTTTCCAAGCTGAGCTATGCTGGCTCAGGAATTCTGGGAGTTGAAGTCCACGAGTCATAAAAGAGCCAAGGTTGCCTATCCCTGAACTAGCCAAACTTTAAATGCTCAAGGAGACGCTTTCAGTTGTGGTGTCACATTGGCCAGTATGGTAGATAGAGTTGTTTTTAGAAAAACACCCATGCTTCATTAAGTTAAATACCCCCTCAAGAACACACCACACAAAGGGATTGAAAAAATGTGACACATTTATGGGTACTCTGCTATATTTACCAGGATATGAAATGGCCACTATGATTCACTCAGAAAAATGACCATTTTCTTTCCATAACCAGGCCATCTTTCAGTTTAAAATTACCTTTGAGGTTAAACCCCCGGCACTGAGTCATAGGGTTTCCATGTCTCACATCTTGTCTTCGACTCCGCCTATAACATTAAGGGAAAGAAAAGTGGTGTAGTTGCAAAATTTCACCAAACAGTCAAGTATTGATAGTAGAGAGTATTTACAACTCAGGGTTGAAAACGAGGGGTCCTTGGTGCTCTCTGAGCTTGGTGGTTTTCTTGCAGATGTTTCATGACCCAACTAGGTAACATCACCAGTGCTAGAATGGAGTGAAGGTTGTGGAGGAGGAGGAGAAGGAGGAGGAGGAGGAGGAGGAGGAGGAGGTGGTGGTGGGGGTGGTTGTTCTTGGTGCTACCTGACCTTGATGGTTTTCTTGAAGATCTTTGATGACCCAACTAAGGAACATCATCAGTGCTAGAAGGGAATGGGGTTTGTGGAGAAGGTGGAGCTGGTGGTGGTGGTGGAGGAGGAGGAGGAGGAGGAGGAGGAGGAGGAGGAGGAGGAGGAGGAGGAGGAGGAGGAGGAGGAGGAGGAGGAGGAGGAGGAGGATTGTAGGCTCCTTGGTGCTCTCCAAGCTTGATGTTTTTTTTGCAGATGTTTCATGACCCAACTAGGTAATATCACCAGTACTAGAATGGAGTGAAGTTGGAGGAGGAGGAGGAGGAAGAGAAAGAGGAAGAGGAGGAGGAAGAGGAGGAGGAGGAGGAAGAGGAGGAGGAAGAGGAGGTGGTGATGGTGATGGTGATGGTGATGGTTGTGGTGGTCCTTGATGCTCCCTGACCTTGATGGAGGTGGTGGTGGTACATGAAAACAATTAAGCTCAGAGAATCCCAAGGATCCTATAAATAGCCAAGTGTTTGTTAGGATTGAAAAGCACTCTTGACTTTTTTGTTAAAAAAACAAACTACGAAGCAAGTGGATCAAATTCATTCCTCTGGCTAAAACTCACTTCTCTACCTTACGTAAAGTTTCATGTAATTCAATAATACATTCATGCTTCATTATTGTGTTATTTATAGATTTAGAACTATGTAGCCGTATCTTCAGCAGACGGAATGAAATTGGAGGAATTAGGGACACATTGCACTACACAGAATTTTATGGATTCCATTGGGTTTATCTAAAAACAATTCAGTCAAGAGATAATCCATTGCCTGATGCTTCACAGGTAGCAATATGTATATAGCAGTTGGAAACCTTTTGTTTCCATGATTTTAAAGGATGTAAGTCTTTAGCTTGGAAGTCTAATTCCTTTTGGTGGAATAAATATCCAGAAAGCCATAGAACTGATAGTGGTATATTTATAGGTGTCCCTAGACAGGGCAAATACCAACCAGCATATTATGTACGATACAAGTCATGGCACAGACTTAAAAAGTGTGGAGCTTGTATTGTGACATCACAACCACACGTCCCAAAGGTGCTTTTTCCTGGAAAAACAAAGTCCAATTGCCTTTTGAAAAAGCACCTTTGGGACAACCATGGCTGAGATGATGGAGAATCTCCATAGACATCACAACAACATATAATTTGGGCATCTCTCTCTGGTTAGGAACGGCGGGCTGTTTTGATTTTAGAAAACTCAACACTGAAATGATAAACATTGCAGATCTCGGTTAGATTTCCCAATTATTATTTTTTTAACTTTACCATTCCCAAGATTTTGTGGGTACTGGATGGTAAGGAAAACCCAACAGTCTTTTTAGCAAGTACATCTTGATGTTCTGTTGTGATCTCTGGCCAGCTCCCTCATTCTGAAGGAACGTTTGTTTTCCTTTTAGCATTATTGTGTGTTCATTAAAAGAATTTGACCCGGTGCTAAAGCATTTCTCTGCAGCAGTTTCTTTTAAGCCTTTTACCACTAATGTTGAAAGAAGATTGCAGACAGAGAACTGGTCTTTGTGGGTGTCTTTCAGAAGTCGAAGGGAAACAATGGAAATAGCCATTTTCAAAAAGAGCTTGGCAAGTTGGTACATAATTATACCGTGACATGAAAAATATTTGGCAAAGACGCAGATGAGTTTTTCGCAACACGGCCACGCTCAAACGTCTCGCAGTCATGTTTGGGGAACAAAACTTTGTAGGCATCCGTAGGGCACAGAAAAGAGACAGAACAAAATACTGTCTGCACGAAGCAGTTACTACTGGTGTCTAGACTTCCAGACTTGGCTTTTTCTCAATTATATATATATTTTACTAGATACAGGAATTAATTTCCTAAAAATGTAAAACCCAGACTTCATTATCTATTGCATTAACTTTTTTCCCACCAGAGCAAGCCCTCAAAAGGAGATGATGGGCCCTGTTGTGAGGACTGGGGAGATAGTCAGATATTTGCAGACATTTCTCAATGTTCAGATCACATTTTGGCAAATTCTGAAATGTGCAGCAAGCAAATATCTTGTTTCAAAACAGCAAGCATCCTTGGAATTACAGTTACAATAGGAACACAGGGAAACGAGGCCTTTTGTTTTCTAAAAAAAATATTTCAAGACAAACAATGCTGGCTGGAAAACATCTAGATGGGCAATCCGACTCTTTCAAAAATTTAGAAGCCGTGGAAGACGGTCCTACGACCTCACCACTATGTGAACAAAATGTTAGGGGACTGGAGGCTAAAACATATGAAAAATGGTTGCTGGAATTGGGGATGTCTAGTTTAACGAAGAGAAGGGTGAGGGGGGACATGAAAGCAGTGTTCCAATATCTCAGGGGCTGCCCCAAAGAAGAGGGAGTCAAGCTATTCTCCAAAGCACCTGAAGGCAGGACGAGAAGCAACGGGTGGAAACTAACCAAGGAGAGAAGCAATCTAGAACTAAGGAGAAACTTCCTGACAGTTAGAACAATTAACCAATGGAACAACCTGCCTCCAGAAGCGGTGAATGCTCCAATACTGGAAGTTTTTAAGAAGAGACTGGATAGCCATTTGTCCGAAATGGTGTAGGGTTTCCTGCATGAGCAGAGGGTTGGACTCGATGACCTCCAAGGTCCCTTCCAACTTTATTATTATTATTATTATTATTATTATTATTATTATTATTATTATTATTATTATTATTATTATTATTATTATTATTATTATTATTATTATTATTATTATTATTATTATCTGCATTTCTTTCTGCCAACCTTATCTGTTGGCTTAGCCTCACTCACCTTTTGCCCGTTGGATAAAATCTGGAGCAGGAATTGCCATCCCAGGCACAGTAAGGATCTCTGGCCAAGCAGCAGTCCGCACAGGCGGTCCCGTAGATGTGGCAACGGTGCAACGACACCTGGGTGACGCCTTCATCGGAGCTCACGTACAACTGTTGCTGTTCGAAAAGCAAGGGAGAAGGTTGTTTGTTTTTTTAGCTTCTGGAACTGCAGGAAGATGTCTAGCCTGAAAGCAACAAATAGAGATCTGCCCAGTGCTGGGATTCAGCCGGTTCTCAACACTTCAGCAGAACCGGTAGCTAATATTTTGTCGCCCAGGCCCAGAACGGACTTCCGGAAGCGGCATCCACACAGAGAACCGGTTGTTCACCTATTTGAATCCCACCACTGGATCTGCCCGCTTGATCACTTCAAAGGATCACAAAGCCGAGAACTGGATCACTAAATGCCAAAATAAATGCAGGGAGCTCTCTGGTTATTATTGTGTGATGTGTCCTTTTTTAGCAAATGTTTAAGAATAGGCTTAAAACTTTCAAAACTTTGAGGCTAATGGTTCATCTGTCAGGAGAGTCCTTCAAGAGAATATGAGAGCAATCTGTCTGTCTGCCTGCCTGCCTGCCTGCCTGCCTGCCTGCCTGCCTGCCTGCCTATCTATCCATCTATCCATCTATCTATCTATCTATCTATCTATCTATCTATCTATCTATCTATCTATCTATCTATCTATCTATCTATCTATCTATCTATCTATCTATCTATCTATCTATCTATCTATCTATCTATCTATCCATCCATCCATCCATCCATCCATCCATCCATCCATCCATCGGTGGGATTCAAATATGTGAACAACCAGTTCTCTGTGTGGATGCCACTTCCGGAAGTCCATTCTGGGCCTGGGCAACAAAACATTAGTTACCAGTTCTGCCAAAGTGGCTTTTGGGTTGATTTCCAAATGTTTCATTACCAGGCTAGGTAACATCTTCAGCAGAGTTTAAGGGATATCTATCTATCTATCTATCTATCTATCTATCTATCTATCTATCTATCTATCTATCTATCTATCTATCTATCTATCTATCTATCTATCTATCTATCTATCTATCTATCTATCTATC